AATAGCTCGTCTTTTTGGTATCCAAAAGTTCATGTCAATCACTAAGGGTGGGCACCAACTCCGACGGAGTCGAAAAACGTCAATCTGACCTCCGGCTTCGACTTTAGTTGGAGTGAGTTTTTTTCTTCGACTCCAACTCCGCAACAAATTGTCTCCACCTCCACTTCTGCCAATTGGAACCGGACTAGAATTTTGGAAATTGAAAAAANCCCTCACTAGGGGTGGGCACCAACTCCGACGGAGTCGAAAAACGTCAATCTGACCTCCGGCTTCGACTTTAGTTGGAGTGAGTTTTTTTCTTCGACTCCAACTCCGCAACAAATTGTCTCCACCTCCACTTCTGCCAATTGGAACCGGACTAGAATTTTGGAAATTGAAAAAATCTAAAGAAAAAAATATACAAGAATTTTATAATGTAAATACACTTACGAAAAAGTTTCAATCATATATATCTCAGATCTTACAATGTACACACACATATAGAGAGAGAGAGAGTTTGAAAGAACTTAGTTGGAGATGAGACCATCGTCGGATCTGCTTCGTTGGGATCTCAAATCTGAGTGCGCTATTCCATCAGAAGAATGGTANACATTGTCTCCACCTCCACTTCTGCCAATTGGAATCGGACTAGAATTTTGGAAATTGAAAAAATCTAAAGAAAAAAATATACAAGAATTTTATAATGTAAATACACTTACGATAAAGTTTCAATCATATATATCTCAGATCTTACAATGTACACACACATATAGAGAGAGAGAGAGTTTGAAAGAACTTAGTTAGAGATGAGACCATCGTCAGATCTGCTTCGTTGGGATCTCAAATCTGAGTGCGCTATTCCATCAGAAGAATGGTATCTAACATCAACTAAGAGGCAAAGAAATGGAGGTGCTAGGTTGCTCCTCCTTGATTGAGAGAGAGAGAGATAGAGGGGGGAGGGAGGGAATGGGAGGCTTGCCTAAGTGACTGCGTCGTCTCAGATGACTCTTCTATCACCAACAGTGTGTGTGTTTGTGTCTGAGTGAGAGAGAGACAGAGGGGGAGGTTGTTGTGTTTACAACTGGGCTTAGGGGCTAGGCTTATTTTGGTGGGTTGGACTTAGGATTTTGGATTTATAATAAATTATTATGTAATTAATAATTTATATATATATGATANGAGAATGGGAGGCTTGCCTAAGTGACTGCGTCGTCTCAGATGACTTGTCTATCACCAATAGTGTGTGTGTTTGTGTCTGAGTGAGAGAGAGACAGAGGGGGAGGTTGTTGTGTTTACAACTGGGCTCAGGGGCTAGGCTTATTTTGGTGGGTTGGACTTAGGATTTTGGATTTATAATAAATTATTATGTAATTAATAATTTATATATATATGATAAATTAATAAATGTCAGAATTGGAGATTAATTTTTTTTTCAGAATGGACTGTAGACTTCGACTTTGATTAGAGTTTGCAATTTTTCTTCGACTTTGAAAAACTCCAACAGAGACGGGGACAGAGATGAAATCGGACCAAAGTCACACACGAAGTTGAATTTTTGAATTCTTGTACACCCATATTCCTCGGTGTAAATTATCTTAGAGACGAGAAAGAGAGTGACCTAGTGATAATGATTCACCCATGTGGTAAATGATTAAAAATTCTACTTTCATTCTCTTTTTTGTTTCTCCTACTGAAAAAAAGAGTATAATTATTTTTTAAATTTATTTAATATTTTTTTTTTGTAAATATTAAATCCCGAATACAGGAAAGTACAAATAATAAATCTAATTTCTATTTTAACCCTAATAANACGGGGACAGAGATGAAATCGGACCAAAGTCACACACGAAGTTGAATTTTTGAATTCTTGTACACCCATATTTCTCGGTGTAAATTATCTTAGAGACGAGAAAGAGAGTGACCTAGTGATAATGATTCACCCATGTGGTAAATGATTACAAATTCTACTTTCATTCTCTTTTTTCTTTCCCCTACCGAAAAAAAGAGTATAATTATTTTTTAAATTTATTTAATATTTTTTTTTGTAAATATTAATTCCCGAATACAGGAAAGTACAAATAATAAATCTAATTTCTATTTTAACCCTAATAAACTATCAAGGTCGTTTTGCATGAAAGCCGGCCCTTTTCTTTTTGTGTTTTTATGGGACTGGGCCGGTGGGCCCTACTCAAATAGGGAAAATTGATGGGTCCCTTATGTTGTTATTTGACTTTTCTCTGTCCAACATTCACAAACAACAAATGAATTCAAAAAAAAAAACACAAGGAGCGGGAAACCAAAATATCTTTAGATCCACAAGTCCTAAGAATGATAGAGTACTAAGTTACAATCCTACCCTTCCCCAAAACCTATAATTTTTTCAAGAGTTAATTACATCGAAAGTTTCTAAAGTATAGAATTTATTTTATTTTTATTTTTAATATTTTAATTATATTATTTTAATCTCGAAAATATTGAATATATTTTTATGTGGTGTCTTAAACAGACAGTGTCCAAATTGTTAACAATTTTTTATTATAAATTTGTCACATAATACCTAAGTATAGGTAAAAAAATAATTTGAATAACTTTGACCAAATNAGAATTTATTTTATTTTTATTTTTAATATTTTAATTATATTATTTTAATCTCTAAAATATTGAATATATTTTTATTTGGTGTCTTAAACAGACAGTGTCCAAATTGTTAACAATTTTTTATTATAAATTTGTCACATAATACCTAAGTATAGGTAAAAAAATAATTTGAATAACTTTGACCAAATTTGTACCCAAATTTTGGTCAAAAACCTACTTAAATTACACAGTTTTGATTATAAGTTATCTAAATTTTGGTCAAGATCTACCCGTATTGCACATTTTCTGTTAAAACCTATCCAAATTATTTTTTATCTATTTTTAGGTATCACATGACAAGTTTATGATAAAAAATCAATAACAATTTGGATGTTGTTTGCTTAAAGGACCACATAGAAATATACTCAATACTTCATAGATCAAAATATGCAATTGAAATATTATAGATCAAAATGAGATAAACTTTATGTTTTAGGACTTCTAATGCAATTAATTCTTTTTTAAAATTTGAGGTATACCTTTTTTGAAATCATACTCATATCCCCACTATCATACTCCATCCCTCCGACATACCAAAAAGTATTTTGTTTTTATTTTTACTTCTATGTCTTATGCATGACAGTTAAATCCCCTCTAATAGGTTTTTTTTTTTTTTTCAATTCTCTTTTTAGGAGATCACCTATCATTTATTTAAGCGAAAATCATTGTATACAATTGAGTTCATATATCACTAATGTTATATGACTTGTCAAGAAAATAATTAGAGGAAAAGAGTATTGGATGAGAATTGGATCCCTTATGCATGCATCCTTATTCTCATTGAGATAGATTAAGACACCTCATCCACCTCCTATGTCCTATCTCCCAACCTATTTTACTCCGTCACCCCCATAACTTGACCCAAACTTACTCCATTGCAGCAACCCTCTCCAATTTTCATGCTTTCTTCCACTCCAAAAAATCAACTACTTCTACTACTCTGCATTGTCATCCCCACCCTCCTCTCTTAAGAATGAGATCTATTCCAATACATCTCTCATTCTCGTTAATACCATAATAGATGATTGCCACAAAGAGAAAAGGAAAAAATTGTGAATTGGAGAAAATTTTGGTCCCCCTTCTTAGATCTCCACTTCGATTCGACAAAATGGCAACCTAACTCTACCCATGACCCTATTATCCTCCCCGCGCCCTACTCCACTAATTCCTCCCCTCGCCTCTTGTCAAGAAATTTGATATTTATGGTTCATGGGTTATACGTAAGATGTAAATGTATCATGGTTAGCTAAATATTCAAGTTAAGACTTAAGATTAGTTAATTCTTGTTAGGAATCCAAAATGATTCTACTAAAATATAATTCAAGTTTAACCCCCAACTAGTTAATTTTACTTTACGCGATGAAAAAATATTAATTATAACGGTGATATCATGTGACAATATCAAAATAAATAAGTAAATAACCCTACTAAAATTAATAATCAACCCTCTATCTTTTTCCATATAAACAAATAACTATCCAAATGAGTTCACTTTACGCACTAGGGCCTATTTGTTTGAGATATAAGATTTAGNCATATAAACAAATAACTATCCAAATGAGTTCACTTTACGCACTAGGGCCTATTTGTTTGAGATATAAGATTTAGGTGGTATAAGATTTTATATTCATTCTACTCCGATCCAATGATATATTATATCTGGTCTTAAACTATAATCTCATTATTTTGCTTTTTTATTTGTCACAAATATTATCTGTGTAATACCTACTTAAAAAAGTAAAAAATTGCAACTACTCAATGTAAAAAGATAATTGTAACCTTCTAAAAAGTCAAAAATTGAAACTGGCTTTTATATGAGGTATTGTACATGAGGGCATTTGGGNAAAAAGTAAAAAATTGCAACTACTCAATGTAAAAAGATAATTGTAACCTTCTAAAAAGTCAAAAATTGAAACTGGCTTTTATATGAGGTATTGTACATGAGGGCATTTGGGTCTTTTTACTCTATTATATCTCCATGAAAGTTATACCGAGAATATTATACCACCGGATAGGTGATATTATTTAGCACCATATACAAGGTATAAGAGTTACTGTTCACACGGGATCAGTACTATGACCTGGAAATTAATACCGAGTAAAAAATGTCAAATAAATAAGGTATAAGATAGACCCCACGTACTATTTTCCTTATACCACCCTTATACCTCAAACAAACAGTCCCTCGATGTTTTATTATTGATCCGTGATACATGTCAGCATCACTGTTGCCTTCTATATTTACTTGCACACGAGAGGGGTAGTATCGTCTTAGGTGATATTGTCTTTTTCCTTCCCTATCGCCACCTTAAATTCTGTTTCTAAACTTAAGGAAGCCAACCTCACAAATTTCGAAGAAAGAGAAAAGGAAACTAATCAGACAGCTCAAAGCAGTGAACGATTAACACGGAGCACCCAAATCAAGCTCAAAAACCTAATTCAAGAAACCCTAGACAGATCCTTTTCCCTTCCGTTATACTTCTTCTATCACTTTAGACATACATCGTAGTTTATGTATTAGAGTCTGTATCTACAATCTCTCACATAGTATCAGTACATACCCAACAAGAAGGCATATAGAAAAAGTCTTATTCACACCCAGGTATGATATTTCTTCTCCAATCTTGGCTACCCATTGTTTTGTTTAGTTTCAAGTTCTTGTATGCCTCAAATATAGGTATATCTTTGTTTGCGTGTGTAAGGTTGTGAACATATTTGACACTGTTCTTAGATTTGAGAAATTTTCTTGATTGCTGTGCCAAGAGACTAAACCATGGAGGTTCAAGTTATCAAATTACTGAAGTCTTTTGAAGTTGTCTACGTTTTTTTGTACATGTGTGTTTTTTTTTTGTTTCAAATCCGAGACACCCACAAAGTTAAAAGTGTTTTAAACCCAGTTCTTGCATATGCATNCATGGAGGTTCAAGTTATCAAATTACTGAAGTCTTTTGAAGTTGTCTACGTTTTTTTTGTACATGTGTTTTTTTTTTGTTTCAAATCCGAGACACCCACAAAGTTAAAAGTGTTTTAAACCCAGTTCTTGCATATGCATCTGTGGTTCTGCTTGACTTAATGTAATTGCAGTGACAAATTATCTCGATTACCCATTAGTTGTGTTGGTTTCAGGTAACAATAAATTTCAGATTTAGTAATTGGATTTCTAAAATTGATGATTTTTAGCAGAAAAATAGGTTCGGAAATTTAAAGTTGGAATCTTTGTTAGTTCTTGGGCATAATCTGTCCAGATTCCTTGTATGATTTTTTTCCACATTAATTCTTAACTCAATCTATAATTCTTTTTATTGGGTTGGCTTCAGAAACATTAACAATGGGAAGAAATTTGAGTCCGGTGTTGCGGAGAGAGTTAGGAAATCTTGACAAAGATGCTGATAGTAGGAAATCAGCAATGAAGGCGTTGAAATCGTATGTAAAAGACTTGGATTCGAAGGCAATTCCAATCTTTCTAGCTCAGGTTTCAGAGAAAAAGGAAAGTGGTACATCAGCTGGGGAATATACAATATCACTGTATGAAGTTCTTGCTCGTGTCCATGGCCCAAAAATTATCCCTCAGATTGATAACATTATGGATACCATAATCAAAACCTTAGCTTCAAGTGCTGGGTCTTTTGCACTTCACCAGGCTTGCTCAAAGGTGGTTCCAGCTATTGCTAGGTATGGGATTGACCCAACAACACCTGAAGAGAAAAAGAGGCATATAATTTACTCACTCTGTAAGCCTCTTTCAGATTCTCTTTTGGGTAGCCTAGAGAGCCTATCTTCTGGAGCTGCTCTCTGCCTAAAGGCTCTTGTGGACTCTGATAATTGGAGATTTGCTTCAAATGAGATGGTGAATGAAGTTTGTCAGAGAGTTGCTGGGGCTTTGGAAAAGCCAACGCAGACCAATTCACACATAGGATTGGTTATGGCTCTGGCTAAGCACAATAGTCTGCTCGTTGAAGCCTATGCGAGGTTGTTAATACAAATTGGATTACGAATTTTGAATACTGGGGTTGTTGAGGGGAATTCTCAGAAAAGGTTGTCAGCCATTCATATGGTGAATTTTTTGATGAAGTGCTTGGAACCCAAAAGCATATTCTCTGAGCTTGGACTGATAATTGAGGAGATGGAAAAGTGTCAGTCTGATCAGATGGCTTATGTTAGAGGAGCTGCATTTGAAGCATTGCAAACAGCAAAGAGAATAGCCACTGACAGGTGCTCAGATTTTGAGAGTGATATGGGTTCTATTACGGGGTCAAATTTTGGTAGCAGAGGCAACAGCCGGAGAAGAAATTTTTGGGATAGTGGAGATGGTTCACCCCGAACTGCATCACCTGAATCACAGACTGTTAATTCATTTGTTGGGTATAATTCGCTGATTGAATCACCAATTTCAGTAAGTCAGGCCTCCCCAGACTTGGATTATGACCGAAGGAGTGTGAACAGGAAACTTTGGAGGAGGTATGAGAATGGTGGAGTTGATGTATCTCTCAAGGATGGGTTGTTTTCAGAGGTGACTAGTGGAAATGCCATACAGAATGATGAATTTTCTGGTGATAGAGACTATACAGATGAATTCACTGGGTTTTCGCAACGAAGTCCAAGAAATGGAGTTGTGAGAAGCACCACTCCCAGCCCTCAGGTAAACTTTCAACGAGTTATTTTCTGTGAACTTTCCATAAATCAGAAATCACCATACACAGCCATAATTGTAGTGAGCAAAAAAGTTAATCAAGCAGTTAAGTTCCTTCAACTTGAGAGTTTTTCAACTAAGCAGCGAAATATGTAAAGTAACTCAAAGTTTCTAAGGGAAATCCCTCTAGCAAAGAGTTGTAGATAGTAAATAGAGACAATTAACAATTCTTAAAGAAATCTTCTTCTTGTGTTCTTTGCTGCAACTCTCAGTTTCTTAGTGTTGAAATTGGGATATACCTACATATTCGAACTAAAAGTGCTCCTGTAACCTGAACTTTACGCATGTTGTTCATAAGATGAAATAATTTTATTCACTGCTTGTTCTAGCATTTACAGTTATTTCATTCACTCTTTTCTGCCACACGAGATAAAATTTGTTTCAACTCAGATTCAATCTCTAGACACTAATTCTTGTTAAACTTAAATTGCTTTTGTCATTGCCTTTGTGCTTCAGAGATCACGCTCTCACATCAATGTTGATAATGTCAAGATCTTCACGACTCCAAGAAAGCTAATTCGCTCTCTTCAGGAACCAGATGACATGGGATTCTTTGATAACCAAAGCAGGAGGTTTAGAAGTCCTTCATCAAGCAAATTTGAGTGGAGTCCTGCATCTAAGTATGACCAAAATGGCCTCTCACATGAGGCAGACCATGAGATCAAAGGAGATGAAAATTTGTCTAGTGGTGGTGAGCAGTTCCACGGTAGCTTAGAGTCTGTGTCTTCTTCAACAGAAGATGTCCCTGTGGATGCTGATCTGCAAGTATATCCAAAAGAGGTACCAGGAAGCAAAACTGAATCCCAAGGGATATGTGTCCAAAAGGTCCATCGGAAGTCTACTGTCAACATTGTCTGTGGCCTCTTAGCTATGCTTTTTGTAGTTTTTGGTTGTCTACTGTGGATTGATGATCAGGATGAAGGCTATAATCTTGTTCCCACCTAATTACACTTTTCTTTGTATGATAATCAAACTCTGATTTTCGTCAATGGTAGAAACCTTTGGCAGAAAATTGAGAATCAAATGTTAAATCTGCTATTTAATTTCAATAGAATACATTTGTTCTTGAAAGGTTGTTTCTACTGATCCTTGATATCTATTTTAATTATCAATGTTATGCCATTTTGTGCTTGGTTGGCCATTTAATTGTCTTATTTTCTCTTTGCTCACTTATTGGATTGAGCCTACCTAATGTTGTTTGATTTGAAGTTATTGAATTGAAATTGTCTCCACGGAGTAGATGATATTCCTATCACCGTGTCTTCTGATAAGAAGTGCAAGACCATTTTAGTGGACAGTCGGATGCAAACAAACATGAGGTTTCTTTCCATGGCAGAACTATTTGATGACAACCAGAAAGGCAGCAAAACATTTGTCTTCTGCTAGTTCTTTCAGCAGTCAAACTGATTTCTAGATGAGTAAACATTTTACATTAATACAACATAAAGTGACATGCTTTCTTAAACAAATGCTTGGACAAAATTGTTGGATTTAAAGACACTTCCTCTGCATAAAAGTACGATGAAGGCACAAAGAGACTTCAGCTTAACTTAAAGGTTCAGGGTAAGTGTACATGCTGCCCACCTCTCCATTCACCGTTAGAATGCAGGATTATTGGTTAAAGCACAGCTGACTGGCCTATGCATACATAAGCAAACTTGCTGTTCCATTCATGAATTGATACATGACTCGACATGTACAGTTCATTGAACCTCTTTCTTCCTTNGCAGGATTATTGGTTAAAGCACAGCTGACTGGCCTATGCATACATAAGCAAACTTGCAGTACCATTCATGAATTGATACATGACTCGACATGTACAGTTCATTGAACCTCTTTCTTCCTCCTAGGACGGAATTTCTTCTACCATGTTTAATCTTAAAAAACAACAAAAACAAAAACATAATTATGAGTTAGCACAAACTTGAGATGTTGATGTAAAATAATGAACAAAATGCTTACGACAGCCTAACAGAGATCTAGATTTCTCGGATCTGTCATCTGTATTTCAATCATACTAGTCCTCACTAGCAGCTGATACAGTTCCCAAAAATTCGGGGGAGAAAAGACGGCTTGTTAAGCATTATAGAAATAGTTTGTTTACTTTCATCACCACATTAGGATAACCTGATTAGTATTGTTGGTTGTTTCTGATTGGAATTTATGGACATTTTTGCATTATATTTCTCTTTTTGGCTCTTTCAGACTCTTTTACTCTCAACTGGTTTAAAGATGTTTCGGATTAGATTTTTCTCTTCTTTGTTTTTTCTCTCTTGATTCCAGTGACTTGGATTGTGCTTAACCAATCATTCAATCTCATCTAAGGATTAANTCTTTTACTCTCAACTGGTTTAAAGATGTTTCGGATTAGATTTTTCTCTTCTTTGTTATTTCTCTCTTGATTCCAGTGACTTGGATTGTGCTTAACCAATCATTCAATCTCATCTAAGGATTATTTATATCCCTTTTTAAATTTTCAGTCCATCCCCAGTGCCTCCATAATAGTGTTTGCTAGGTTGCCACCACAACTGCCAGAAAGTGCAGGTATTTTTATTTTCTTGTTCTTGCTGCTGCTGCTACTTTTTAATCTAATCTATTTGTTTTGGTGAGGGAAAACCAATGTAGTGAAACTGCTGGACATTTGCTTAGGAGAAACTGTAAAAACCAAAACTACCTTGGCAATTAATACTCTGAAATTACTAATCACACTGCATAAGAATCATCAGCAATTCTTTCTATGTAGCTATTCTCAGTTCTGCTGAAATGAGGGTTTCTTTGCTTTTGACATGCATTTGGCAACATGTATCTGGAATTGGCATTATTTGAATTGAACTATGATGGTAGTCCATAAACAATACAACTTTTCATTTACACATCCAATTGTGAAGAGATGACACAATTCTATCCAGGAGAAAATTGAACATGAAAAAAAATTACATACTCTAGTTCTAATCTTTTGAATCATGTAATTACAAATTATCATGCTCAATAACTTGTGCCCCTCTCCACTCTTCACCAGGGTTTACAACCACTGGTACCAGCATTGAAGCAGGGCCTGTGCAGATGAAATAGTCCTCTCCATACTTCTGTGAGAAGGAACCAGGACTGGACAAGTAAATGTCTTCAAAACCCATCCGTACAACCCTGAAGAAGAGCTCACGCCCCTGAAAATGACAAGCAAGAAAGGGAAAAATTGTTAGCACAGATGAGCAGATACATGTTATCTATTATTGAAAAGTTTCCATAGATGGATGTATAAACATTGTGAGTTTATGAATTTAAATGATTTAGCCTTGTCAATTATGCCAAAGAAATAGTTGCAATCATACTTCAAAATGTATAAAAGGATTGATGAATGGAACCCACATTTCCAATTGTTATTTGCTTTCTCCACAACGGTGTGGTTGAATATGAATTCAATCAATTGAGTTTTAAATTTGTCAAATTGATACTAGATGTTAGGAAGAGAATCAAATCCCTTACCCACCCCAACTTTTAACCTTGACACTCATCACTGACTCTATAACATCCCACCTTTACTACTAGGCCAAGACATCACTAAATGTTCCGAAAAGTTCTACAAAGGCATATCCACATTGGTTTAGGTACTGAAATGCAACAATACCTGATCAATAGTTTCATATTTTGAAGGTGTGGAATAATGAAATCCATTTGTTCTTTCCGCTGGAGGAGCACTGTACACCCTACTGAGCTTATGCTTCAGAATGGTGATGGGTACATCCTGTGAAGTCCACTCTCCTGGTTTCTTTTCAGGCTCCCAGCCAAAAGAGAACCAATCAGGGTCCTCAGATTTCAAAGCTTCAGATGGGGATAAAATTTCAAATGGCGAAGGGAAAGGAGGGTGTGTGCAGTAAGAGCAGCCCCGGAGTCCTTTAACTGCTGTTCCACTTCTTTTCTTAGACTTGAAATGGCTAAGTATAGCACTAGTTAGATTAATAGCCTTGCGGCCATTGTTTTTCACTATTACTGCTGTTGCCATGCTTAGTGGATAGAGGGAGACAACATAGGTTATATCTAGAGCTCCACTGGTGCAGCTTAACTCAACCTGCAATGAAAGGAAGGAAGAATATTACTTTCCTCATGATTTCCCATCCTTTTGGAGCAATAGTCTGGCAGTTTCAACTGTTTATATCGAAGCACATAAATTATGTTGCAACTGCAACCATTTCCAGGGAAGGAACGGCATTGTACCTATTACAGTGATAGCTTCAAAAAAGAACAGGCAAAACCGACTCTTGCTTTATATCAACACATTTCATACTTTCAAGGAGGGCTGAGGAGGAGACAACTTGCACCAAGACATCAGAAAAAACAATTGGAGCAATAATTTAGCAGTTTGTACTGTTTATGAATTATTTGCCTTGAAAGAAACTTCATTTACAAATTGCAGTGGGGGCTTCAAACACGAACAAGCATGGAAATAACTCNAACAATTGGAGCAATAATTTAGCAGTTTGTACTGTTTATGAATTATTTGCCTTGAAATAAACTTCATTTACAAATTGCAGTGGGGGCTTCAAACACGAACAAGCATGGAAATAACTCTGCTTTGTATCTACACCTTAGATTGTTTTCATACACTACTGAGCTAAAAACAACTTCACCAAGACTTCAAGAAACATATGACAAGAATCATATGTAGTAATTAATCAAATTGTACTCAGTTCAGTTGGTACACAAGGAAATTTTCTAGCTGTCCATAACCTCATTTCACAAATTTTCGGAGCAACCCAAATTAATTCTTTGGACATTCCCAATTGTATACGATCCTATATTCAACATGTTTCTGTATAAAATTGCAGAAATGACAGCCATTGATATTTTTAAGAATGAAAACCAAGGAAACAGAGAACTTCCAAGAACTCAAGAACACAACAAAAAGAAATGGAATAAAAGGGTACCTGGAGAGCGTCGATGGAATCCGAATCCACATCCTTCACAGTCCATTCAGAAGTCTTCACAGGAGCCCCTTTGGAATTTGGGTCAGAAACATCATTAATCACCAAACCAATCCCACCTTTGGCACTGATAGAACCTGACCCATTCACAGTATAAAGAACTTCCTCAAACCCATCGTCTTTCCAGTAAACTTTTGGCCTGTAAGAAGTGACATGGCCACTAGGTATCTGAAGCTTCAGTGAACTTCCATTTCTGACTGTCAACTCAACCGTCGGAGCATCGTCGGACCCTGAAAATTTGAGACCTTTCCGGCCAAATTTCAAGTCGAGAGTCTCTGGGAGAGAAGGGGTGGTTGCTGTTTGAGTTGAAGAAGCCTTAACTGTGATGGGTTTGGGGAGAGAGAAGGACAGGAGAGAAGCCATGAGGAGATGAAGCAACTCTANAGAAGCCTTAACTGTGATGGGTTTGGGGAGAGAGAAGGACAGGAGAGAAGCCATGAGGAGATGAAGCAACTCTAAACAGCTTCCACACACACACCCCACACCAGTGCTAGGCCCATCTTACTGTTTCCCAACAGTCTCTGTTTGAAGATAGAGGTTCTGTTTTGGCATTTTTGTAATTTTACCATCCCTGCCATGGCGGATAATCGAACTATTCGGACAATCATTGTGATCTAAACAAACTGAGTTAAATAATTTTTTTAAGTTTATTTAAAAAAATAAGTATAAAAAAGTTAAGCGGAGTTCGTAAAATTTAACTAGTTCATACGTAAAATAGTCAAACTGTTTTAACTCAACTCAACTCAACTCAATTTTTGAATAAATCAAACTTAAATAATTTTTTAATCTCATTTAAACAAACAAGTAAAATAAACTCACTCAAACTCGACTCAATTAACATTCTTACTAGTAAATTAATTATAAAAAAATAACCAATAAATCTTACTCTTTTATTCTAAATAGTAATACTATAAAGTGTTATCATTCTTTTACATTAAAGTCCTACTTTTGTTTAAAAACAAATCGGAAAATACCCAACTTTGTCAAATTAATGCAAATTAATTTAAGATTTCATTACCACTGAATTTTATTTCAATTTAATTTTTATTTAAATACTAANATACAGGTTCCACACACACACCACACACCAGTGCTAGGCCCATCTTACTGTTTGAAGATAGAGGTTCTGTTTTGGCATTTTTGTAATTTTACCATCCCTGCCATGGCGGATAATCGAACTATTCGGACATGGATTGTGATCTAAACAAACTGAGTTAAATAATTTTTTCAAGTTTATTTAAAAAAATAAGTATAAAAAAGTTAAGCCGAGCTCGTAAAATTTAACTAGTTTATATGTAAAATAGTCAAACTGCTTTAACTCAACTCAATTCAATTTTTGAATAAATCAAACTTAAATAATTTTTTAATCTCATTTAAACAAACAAGTAAAATAAACTCAACTCAATTAACATTCTTACTAGTAAATTAATTATGAAAAAATAACCAATAAATATTACTCTTTTATTCTAAATAGTAATACTATAAAGTGTTATCATTCTTTTACATTACATTCCTACTTTTGTTTAAAAACAAATCGAAAAATACCCAACTTTGTCAAATTAATGCAAATTAACTTAAGATTTCATTACCACTGAATTTTATTTCAATTTAATTTTTATTTAAATACTAATCCCACTTCTAGCATTAATAAATTTCAATTTCTTGTTAAACAACTTACCACATAGTATGCTTGTTCAGTAATATTTTTATTTCACATAACACTACAAGAAAACAGCAATGTCCAGCAGGAAACTCAGGAAGTGCAAGAAGAGGGAGGTCTTATGCTTCAAGCACAAATTCCGAAAACAAAGCAAGTGTTCGAGACCATCCTGTGTAAATTGATTGTCAGCACAAGAATAGCAGGCCAATGTGCTTTCATGTAACTGCTCTGTAACGATTCTAGACATTTTCAACACATCCTGCTTGAATGAGCACAAGTTTAGCCTTAGCTATATGGGAGATTATGTTGGACGATTTTANGCCAATGTGCTTTCATGTAACTGCTCTGTAACGATTCTAGACATTTTCAACACATCCTGGTTGAATGAGCACAAGTTTAGCCTTAGCTATATGGGAGATTATGTTGGACGATTTTAACGTTCAGAACCCGACAAATAGGAGGGGCAGCAATCCTTGCCTAAAATAACACAACATTAGCATATCACAACTATGACAAACAACTCTCAGCAACCAGCACTGCAATGTCCGTAGCTGCAATAAGCATCTCTCAGTAAGCAACCAACCTGTGCATCTATAACAGACCACTTCAGACACCAACAACATAGGCAACCACATATGCCTGCCCTTGATCTCATCAAATAGTACACGAAAAAATGCCAAACAGAAATTGATCAGTGTAGCCCATATCAACCAAGGATCAAAAATAAAGTTAGGCACAACCACCCTAATACAAGAAAACACGAGTGATTGTCCGCAATCCTCTGAACGAAATACGAGTGAGTAGCATATACAATCAACAGTATCCATTTCTCTGTAATCAAAATTTTCTCCAGAAATATCAATGCCATTGACAAAAAGTAAAGAAAAAAGATGCTACACTAAGAACGAACAAAAGAGGTACAAGCAACAGCTCACGAAGTCAGTTTGCCACAAAGAACTTAGTCCTCATCCATTCCTGCTGGTTGATCTCTCTTCGGTCCACCAGCCGGTTTTGCCATTATGATCTGTAAAAAGGGGCATAAATTAATTTAAAATTAGTTGGAAGACATTATTTTGAACTTTGAAAGCAGAACAAAACAGCAATAGTGATTAGAAACAATACATGGTATGTTTCTTAACGTAATCTAGGAACATGTCCAAGAACATCTGAAAAGGTAATGCTTTACAAACACAACACAAACGATAATACAACTGATATGGTAAGAGACTTGTTGGCAACTTGGAATGCCACGCATGCAACTTAAACACGCATGGCAGTCGAAAATCTCTCTCTCCTCTTGTGTGTAACAATTAATCATGCCTAAGAGAGTAGTTACAAGTGACATATTCTAGCCAGCCTTCTGACTTACTATTTCCTTCAGTTTTCCTCCTTGCATGACTGCTTACTCTTTTCTGACAATTTCTTTCACAGATTCACACAGATCCCTTTTTCCCTTTCTTTTGCTGTAATATTAACTTTCCAGATCTACAAATTCACCTTTGATTCATTGCTAACCTGATGAGCATGAAGGGTTGTGGGCCTACTATATTCAGCCAGCATCAGTGATGTTTTCAAAGAAGAGAGAAAGAACAGCGAGCTCGGCCAAAAAAGAGAGAAACAGCAGCAGAGGTGGGCATATGTTCATTGAGAGAGAAAGCGAGAGCAATAGAGATAAAATTATTGCTGGGTTGAGGTAGGAAAGAAACTGACTTGACCATTTTAACTCTTGATTCTAACACATAAAACCCATCGCCGAAGAAAACACCTACACCCAAGATGTTTTAAAACCCTTTTTCTTTTGTTGTCTTTCTCGATGTTAATTCAACAAACTTAACCCATTCTAATTCCATCCTATATATAGTATTACTGTCGATACTTGGTCTGGTCAATGGCAGAGAATGGAGATTAAGAGCCGACAGAAAGTCAATATGAAGAGAAACTTTAATTCCTTGTATTAACTTCGAGTCTAGCTTTCTTCTAACCAAGCAAACAATACTAGAGCTAATGTGCCAGTGAGAATTTCCTTACAATTTGTATAAGTAGTATTGTCCAATGTAAAAACACTATTTTTCACTTAGGTGAAACGAGTGTTGTCATTAGCCAACACATACATCTGTATTCTTTTATGGGGCCAGTTTTGTAATATAGGTGCTGGGAATTACTGACAAACATCAAACGATGAAAATAAGATCTCCACAAATTGAGAAATAGTAATATAGTAACTTCCAGAATCATTAAACAAATTCTTTATAAGGGAAAAAAGGGCATGCTAATCATCACCAACACCCCATGGAATGCTGTGGGCACTAAAGAAGAAAATGGATCAAGAGCACAAAAAGGGTCCAAGAGGAGAAGACATAGCAGAGATTCTTGAAAAGAAAGCTTGAAGTTATGATGTAAACAATACTCATTCCACCAGGGCCACGTACCAAGCAGCTCAAAAGATTATTTTTTATCCTAGCACAAAAANGAAGAAGACATAGCAGAGATTCTTGAAAAGAAAGCTTGAAGTTATGATGTAAACAATACTCATTGCACCAGGGCCACGTACCAAGCAGCTCAAAAGATTATTTTTTATCCTAGCACAAAAAGGGAAACTATGCAGACGAGTGAAATATGTCCTACAGAATACAGAACTTGCTAACTAAGAATCCAAAAATCTGTCATTACAGGCAGATAGGAATAAGTCAAGACATTCTATAACAAGACTCTGATAGCAGAAAAAACCATAACATCAAACTAATTACCTGGCCTATCCATAGCATAAATCAACAGTCTATATCAAGACTTAGAAAAAACCATGNCGATGAAAATAAGATCTCCACAAATTGAGAAATAGTAATATAGTAACTTCCAGAATCATTAAAAAAATTCTTTATAAGGGAAAAAAGGGCATGCTAATCATCACCAACACCCCATGGAATGCTGTGGGCACTAAAGAAGAAAATGGATCAAGAGCACAAAAAGGGTCCAAGAGGAGAAGACATAGCAGAGATTCTTGAAAAGAAAGCTTGAAGTTATGATGTAAACAATACTCATTCCACCAGGGCCACGTACCAAGCAGCTCAAAAGATTATTTTTTATCCTAGCACAAAAAGGGAAACTATGCAGACGAGTGAAATATGTCCTACAGAATACAGAACTTGCTAACTAAGAACCCAAAAATCTGTCATTACAGGCAGATAGGAATAAGTCAAGACATTCTATAACAAGACTCTGATAGCAGAAAAAACCATAACATCAAACTAATTACCTGGCCTATCCATAGCATAAATCAACAGTCTATATCAAGACTTAGAAAAAACCATACAATCAAACAAAATAGTCAATTACCTGGTCTACCCGCAGCACCGTACAAGCAGCATCAGCAGCATATTTGAGAGCAAAGAACCTGAAAAAACCGAACAAGCACATTCAGCATGACATACCAATCCCCCTCCTAAATCAATNTGCAATCAAACAAAATAGTCAATTACCTGGTCTACCCGCAGCACCGTACAAGCAGCATCAGCAGCATATTTGAGAGCAAAAAACCTGAAAAAACCGAACAAGCACATTCAGCATGACATACCAATCCCCCTCCTAAATCAATGGCAATACGTACACTCCAGAGCAAGGTTACTTGGATTGTGGGTTGCTTGGGTACATGGTACGGGTATGGGAACGCGGTACATTGGGAGTAAGATTAGCTAGTACGTTATTTTGGGTCGCAATTCATTTTAGGACTCTTATCTAGAGTATTTTCACTACTATACAACATTATATGTTACAAAACATCTATAAACACTAAATTAGTTACCATTTATTTGATATTTTGCTAGATTTTCTATTATCTAAAACAATATATAATTATAAATTTATATACATGTAGTCAATTAAAATGTACTTTATATTTGTGCTACATATTCAAATGCAATTTGATTTAGAGTTAGTATTACAATTTGGTGATCTGGATCGCGAACCCACCCCTAGATCGTGGGTCTTCATGGTGAATTCTGGTAACCATGCTTCAGAGCAATGCAAGGATAAATGATGACAACCTTAATCCCGTCCAAAAACAGTTATGGGATATCAGGATAATATGGTCACTTCACACCTAATTACAATTCAATGTGAAATTATACCACCTCTTACATTTATATCATGTGGTGTTATTGAAACTATAGTACAAAGATTAGTCACAAGATTCGCCCCCCCACCACCACGCTTTATCGCTTGGAGCATGAATTCATGAATTAAGAGTGAAATCGGCATAAATTCGTACTCTCATTTCACGAAAATTCGTGAATTCAAAAAATAAATTCGCGAACTCAATATTTCAACTCTGGACCAAGTCAAAAACCCAATGTTTTAGACTTGGCTGGCCCAAATATTACTAAAGCTGACTACCTCTGCTTTCCAGCTAAGGAAGTCTCTTGTGTAACAGTTGAGGAACAGGAAGCCATTACATCTTATAGGCATGAGTTGCCACCAGCTTCTCATGCCTATTTGATGTGGGATGCAGTACAAGGTATAAAAATGCCTTCCAAAGGCAAGTGTTGCTGCCTACTTTTAAGAATTCACTCTATTATTTTCATGCCAAATTAATAGTTAAACAAATTTAAATAATTTATCATCTATTTGTGTATGAAATTTATTTATTTTTTAATTATATTTTTAATAATTCTTATATGTGAGCAGTCTCAAAGCCCTCCTGCTCTAAGATTTTTTTAAAATTTCGCGCTTTTGGGCTCCCGCCTCAGCCCCAGCCCCAGCCCCTGCTGTGTGTGACTTAAGTACAAAAGTGCCAACAGTAACCTGAACCAAACCCGACCTAAAGGCTAAAGAGTTATTGCTGCAAATTTTACAGTACATTCAGGATTCAAGCACAAGTTACCAGTACTGGGATGATAGGCATGGAATAGTATTCTACACATTCTGCAAGTAAATTCACAAAACTGCTTACTTGGTGATGTAAAGGTCCCAAATATTCATGGTAGCAACATCCTTGCAGGCACCTTCCTCCAGATCAATGCCTACTTTAATGTTTCCAGATGCATGTTCAGCATATAAAGATGATATGATCTCCATAGCATTAAGACCAGCATTCTCAGAAAGGGTTTTTGGTACCATCTCGAAGCTTTCAGCAAATTTTGCAATTGCATACTGATCCAATCTACAAAATAAGAGTTGACTTAAGTCCTGGTAAGTTCACCCAGTCTTGGTTTACCAACCTAGTGTATAACAAACACAATAAGGGTATATGGAACAAGATACTCCATTTTAAAAGATTGCTAAATCAAAAGCAAACAAATCAACTGGCCAAATAAGTAGGTCACCCGTTCCAAATATGGAGATTTCAAAATGTGTTAAGGAACAGCTTAGGAGTTGGGACACAGTGCAACATATGGGTTGTGTTGAACAACCTGGACATCAGACACATAACAATACAAGCACATCCACCACCATTGAATGATCTGGAAGCTACTGTTTATCATATTTTTGAATGTCAACCCAAATTTCTAATGTGAGACAACTAACATCTCAACTGCACCAGTACTTGTAAGACTTCCAAAAACTTATCAACACAACACTGTCCTAGATGTTAGTGGTCAAATTTGTAGACACCAAATTATCACAATAAGCACATCCACCATCACTGAACAATTCGAAGAAGCATTTTCGGCTTTGAAAATGGTGAACAAAGCATTTCAAGATGGCACAAATAATATGTTGCATGCATTGTTTGTGTTATATGAACAAAATCACACTTCAAGAAAGTATCAACACAAGGTCCACAGCCCTATCCTAAATGTTGGTTATCAAATATATAGACACCAATAAGCACATCCACAATATTGTTCAATTCCCAGGAAGCATTTTCATCTTTTGGAACAGTAAACCAAAACCTTCAAGATGAGACAACTACGGACTATCATAACGCATGCACCGAGTTAAAAGTATATTCTAGTATACTCCAGTATATAAAGGGCAAAAACTAAACTTCTAAAACTTATCAGTGCCACCAAGTCCTAAATTGGTGGTTTAAAGAGTAGACACCTAATACCAATTAAAGTAATTAAAGTAGGAGTGCATCATTTTGCAAATACCAAGAACTTCCATAAGAAAGTAGAAGAATAGGTTAAGAACATAAGACAAAGATATTAACTTACAACTAGATCTTTGAAAAAATAGAAAAAAGAAACCATATTAATGCAACAAAAACCTACCCTGTCTCTTTGAAAGAAAATTCCTTTAGTCTTCTGGCCAATTCAATCTCAGCAGCTGCAGCCCCAGGTATAATCCGACTGTCCCTACACATTGCCTGATACAAACGTGAATAAAGAAGGCTGGAATTAGCTTCTACATGCCACTTAAAAAAAACTACTTAAACCAAGCGTTGCTTCAATTGGTAGTTAATCACTTAATTGGCAGTTAAAAAGCAATCCATCGGAAGCATAAATGCCAGTTCTATGATCAATGGGAAGCACCTTGTAGGTATTCACACCATCATCAACAGCTCTTTCGAGATCATCCAATATACTATCAGTACTTCCGCGTAGAACGATAGTGGAGACAGAGTTTCCACCAACTTCGTTTCTCACAACAGTAACCTATCAGATATAACAAAATAATAAAATATCCAAAAACGATGATTAAAGTTATATTTCAGAAATAAAACACTGGCAAGCTGTTTATTCGTACCCTAACACCGCCAATTTCCTCCACTGAAATCGAATCCACGTATCCAAGATCATCTGGGTTTGGTTGGCAAATCTTCAACTATGTTGACAATTTAGACATGGTATTAGGCAAGATTAGAGACTTGTTTCATTAACCATATAAAATGGCTTCACAGCTTACCATAGCAACTGCACCAGTCGTACGACAAAATCGTCGGAGTTCAAATTTGGAGCTGATTTTTAAAACCATGAGCCTAGAAAAAACAATTACAGAAGTTAATAACAGATGGAGCAGTTAAGAAAAAGCAGATCTCCTTTTGTATGTGAGTCTTATATCATATTCCACTACATGCATGGAAAATCTGCCATACTAGTTATTCCTATACAAGCACCATCTCATCTGTGCGACCAAAAAGAGAGATGTAAAGTGATTGAAGCTCAAGACAGTTGAACCCCCCACAGGAATTTTTTTTAAAAAAATAACAAATTACAGCAAGGGTCTCCCAATACGAGTACAATAGCACACGCATCATGAAGAACAAATACTGGTAAGACAAGAAGCTTAGCATACTTGTAACGTTCACAGAAATGCAAAGCCATTTCTCCAACAGCGCCTCCACTAACAATAACCTTTGCACCAGAGTCTGCAACCGCCTTGATGAGCTCTTCAATTTTAGCTTCTTCAGTTTTTGCATAATTTTCAAGCTACATAATACCCGACATCAAATGTTGCCCAAAAAATTAGCATAGATCACATGAAGACAAGGAAAAAAACAAATCTAATCAGAATATATGAACAATTACCTGTGAACATGCTTCTGCGCATTCAAGTATCAGAAATTTAAACACTAATCGTAGAATAGTCTTCTAAAGTTCTAAGACCTCAAAGAAAGCAATGGCATCATGTAACATACATCAAGAAGTCATTCACCGTCATAGACAAATAGTTTCAAACCACCAACTTTTGGAATGTTAAAAGTTTCAAAAATAGAGAACTGGCAAACCCCATCTACTGAATTTCAGAGCCACTATAACAACTTCATACGGAATATATTACCCATATATCATAAAAAAGAGATTGTACATTAAAGAATTTCTTTTGTAAGTCTCAGATTGCCAAATACTCGTGTGATGATGTGAACCAAGTCCAATACAGGAAGAATCAGCAAATCAGAAATTGTTAAGGGGTTAAGCATCCTATGAAAGGATCTCTGCGGTTTCTCAGAGGATACAAGAATGGTTTCTCAGANGCGATGATGTGAACCAAGTCCAATACAGGAAGAATCAGCAAATCAGAAATTGTTAAGGGGTTAATCATCCTATGAAAGGATCTCTGCGGTTTCTCAGAGGATACAAGAATGGTTTCTCAGAGGATGCAAGAATGGCCTGGATGCAGTGACCAGCCAGCTAAAAAACCAGATAATAGTAGAGAATGAAGACACGTTATGTGCTGCATTTGAAATCCAACAGACCAGCCGAAGTAACCATGGGCCCTCTCACTATTTGCCAGTTAAGTCAGCCTTACCAACCAGATTTGCTCTTCCAATTTTTCAAATGCATATAGTTTTTTCATATGTGCAGCAAAAGAAAGAAAACCATCCATGAAAACTCACAGGAAATGCTTAGTTTGCTAAGTCCTCTCTATTTCTAATATAATATAATATCAACATAAGCAGCACCCAAATTTTTGGCCCTGTTTCTATCTTGCATGAGACCTATTAAANTGCTTAGTTTGCTAAGTCCTCTCTATTTCTAATATAATATAATATCAGCATAAGCAGCACCCAAATTTTTGGCCCTGTTTCTATCTTGCATGAGACCTATTAAAGCATCAAGGCACGCTAACTTGAAAACCTATAAGTTTTCTTCTCAAAAAACTACTTTACACTGCTCACATTTTTAATCTATGACGACATTTTTCCAATAGAATATTTGGATGCTTAATATAAACGCCAGTCTTCTTAATCAGAAAAGGGTATGGAGAAGATGTAAAAGATACTTGATTGCCAGGGATAATAATATTTTCTGCATTACAATATGCTTAAAGCATGTTCATTTTGTAAATGACTTCAAAAATTTCAATGTGTCCCAAGTCTTAAAAGCTTGCATACAACCAGGTCTAAGGAATCAAAAAAGTCTAATTCACTTTCTGCAGTATAAAAACGCAAAAATGAAATTCCCCACTTCCCAATGTGCCACATCCTTTCTCAATCTCCCCTTTCCTATATGTAATCATCACAACCTAAAAAAAAAGTCATTTAAAAAAAAAACAAATTGCCCACAACCATTTCTCATGCATTTACACCCTCATTAAGCTTTCTACTGTAACCATCCCTGTCAAAAACCATTAGCTTCCAAAGTATGTCTCCCCCAATAAAAGTAAAAACCCCTAGCCTAATTTTGTCAATGAAGACAACACTATTACATTTGTTGTTATAAGAAATAAAATTCTATTAATGTGAAGGAATTACAAACATAATAGATAAGGAATTAAACCGAAAAATACAAATAGAGAAACAAAAATTACCATAGAAAATTAATCAACACCACCATTTAACACAAATACCTCCCATTTATTGCTAAATATTAAAGAAAGTAAAATCCCCAAATTCTTTAGTAACCGATAACCAAAGACAAACCGCAAACTTAATTCTTTCACAAAGAAATTTCCTCGACTCGTCACTGCCATATAAATGTCTGTCATCCCTTTCCATCCAAATAACCCATTAAAATAGCCAAAACTACACAGTTCCAATGGAATGAACTAATGAAGCCTTTCCATTCTTCCCAAAACCCTCATGGTCCACCACAAATAAAGAAACACAATAACTCAGGATAGATAACTCAGTTGAGTCTTGCTCCCAAAATAATATACACCGCAACCATAATGCAATAGGACAATTGAAAAAAAGGCAACCAATACTCATCACAACTCCAACACGTAACACCGATGGACCGAAATACAAGCAACTGGTCTTCTTTGAATCAAATCAAATGCATTCATCTTCCCCATAAGCAACAGTCCATGCAAAAACCGGAGGACTAAATAACCAAAATAATAGGACCCGCTACCAATCATTCAGTATTCACATATCTATATCAATAATATCCCACAACTTTGATTGCATCATGCATCTACCAGATACACATGCTTTTATTGTTCTCATAAGAATCACTACGTTGTCTTCCTACTAAGCCTGTCATATACTTCCCCCAAAGTGCAAGAATATCAGGTGGTGATATTGTGTCAAGAAACTAACCATGAAAATTCATTTTCTTGTCACAAAAAAATAAATCATTTTGCGGATAAATAAAGTCATATATTAGTCTTTTCTCAATTACTTGTCCTCATGGTATCATTGCAGAGTTCACAAGCTTGACAACAGGATAACTAATCCAACTTGAAATTTCATCTTCATGCTTATAAAAAGGTACTACATCACTGTTATTTGTACCTCAAAACCCATTAAACCAAAACAAGAACAATTAGGTTCCTTTCCTATCTTTCATTGACCTAAAGTGGATCCAAATAATGTCAACTTAAAGAAGTCTCACGACTAACAACAGAATTCCAAATCTTTTTGATGAACTTTACATTATTTTTGCAAACAAACGGTAAGGCACGAGTGCTGCTAAGTTTTCTCATTGTTTGCTTGTTTTCACTTAAGTTTACCACAAGATTTCATCTTATATTCGGTGAAACCCGATCATACTTCACTATCATTTTTTCAAGTCAATATCTTATGCTCATGGCCTCTAGTTTCACCTTCGATGCATTGGAATGAACCAAATTAGTCTGTGTTGCATCTTCCAATAGCTTTCCTCAGAACATATACTAAAAATAAGTCACAAAGTTACTATGCCATCTATGTTATCTTATTTGTTTCACTTTCACCTAGATGATGCATGTCAAAGCATCTTCATTTAAAGTATACAAAGTTTTCTAATAATGAGTACACAAAAACACTTATCACTTCGGCAAGTGCACATTTTACATGCATCAACTACCTACAAAAAGATGAACAAGGCATATGGACAAAGTCCTCATGTATGAAAAGGCTAACACAATTGCATCTATAGCACCGAAAAGCACTGAAAAGTGAAAACAAGTTATCACATTTGAGAATACTTATATACAAGCCAAAGAAATAGAATACTAGTTTGAGTTACAAAATTAGGTAAAGTCACCATGCGCATAAAGGAGAGAGATAATTCAAAATTAGACAACATCAACACTCAGTCAATTAATTGGTCTCATAGCGAATTCGCAAAATGTAGATCCAATACACAAANATAATACTAGTTTGAGTTACAAAATTAGGTAAAGTCACCATGCGCATAAAGGAGAGAGATAATTCAAAATTAGACGACATCAACATTCAGTCAATTAATTGGTCTCATAGCGAATTCGCAAAATGTAGATCCAATACACAAAAAAATTAGAAACAAGTACATCATCCATGATAGGATACACGAGGAAAAATTAACTCACAAAAGTATACCTGCTCAGCACTATGAATAAGAACAGTTCCTTTTGTCTCAGTTGCAGACGTATCAACACCCCCAGCAAACACAGCAACCTGAAACAGTAAAATGATAGACTAAATATATTGTTTATCTTCAATAACAAACCAACAACAATTTACAATAGTCAAAACAACATGTGCAAACAATGTCCAGCAGAATAAGTTAAAGGTCAATCTTAATAATGTAGTTGCAAGCACAGATGCCATGAAATACGAGTAATCAATAGTTGAAGCAAAACAATAATTGAAAAGCACTTAAAAATTAATGGCATTAGAACTTATTACATGTTTTGTAAGGCATTAAAATTCATTAGCTTCTTTCGCCCTCAAAAACGTCATGCCTTAACAGAGTGATCTCTACAGAAATTAGGAGGTACAAAAACCTTTTAAAACTCAAGGTTCTCTCTTTTTCATAATGTAACACAATTGTTGAATATATCAAGCAACCAGTGTAACAGATCTATTCAAGTAATTGCATCAAATTATTTAGATAATCAAAATCTTTGGTGGTTGCATTAATGAAAACAACATACATCATATAATACACAATCAAGAGTTTTCCAAATGAAAGGTGAGAAGCACAATCTCCACCAAATGTCTATTGGTTGTATGTTTTCGAGAGCAGATACCGTTGACCCTCAGATTGAGACTACCAGAACAAGGAAATATCCACTTTGACACTCAATACAATCNTAAGAAGCACAATCTCCACCAAATGTCTATTGGTTGTATGTTTTCGAGAGCAGATACCGTTGAACCTCAGATTGAGACTACCAGAACAAGGAAATATCCACTTTGACACTCAATACAATCTATGAAATGCAAATCAGTACACAATAGAAAACTGTGCAGAAAACCAAGCAGATGAATGTTTAAAGTCCAGAGATAAAGACAATGATTTATTTGTNTGCATGTCAAAGCATCTTCATTTAAAGTATACAAAGTTTTCTAATAATGAGTACACAAAAACACATATCACTTCGGCAAGTGCACATTTTACATGCATCAACTACCTACAAAAAGATGAACAAGGCATATGGACAAAGTCCTCATGTATGAAAAGGCTAACACAATTGCATCTATAGCACCGAAAAGCACTGAAAAGTGAAAACAAGTTATCACATTTGAGAATACTTATATACAAGCCAAAGAAATAGAATACTAGTTTGAGTTACAAAATTAGGTAAAGTCACCATGCGCATAAAGGAGAGAGATAATTCAAAATTAGACAACATCAACACTCAGTCAATTAATTGGTCTCATAGCGAATTCGCAAAATGTAGATCCAATACACAAAAAAATTAGAAACAAGTACATCATCCATGATAGGATACACGAGGAAAAATTAACTCACAAAAGTATACCTGCTCAGCACTATGAATAAGAACAGTTCCTTTTGTCTCAGTTGCAGACGTATCAACACCCCCAGCAAACACAGCAACCTGAAACAGTAAAATGATAGACTAAATATATTGTTTATCTTCAATAACAAACCAACAACAATTTACAATAGTCAAAACAACATGTGCAAACAATGTCCAGCAGAATAAGTTAAAGGTCAATCTTAATAATGTAGTTGCAAGCACAGATGCCATGAAATACGAGTAATCAATAGTTGAAGCAAAACAATAATTGAAAAGCACTTAAAAATTAATGGCATTAGAACTCATTACATGTTTTGTAAGGCATTAAAATTCATTAGCTTCTTTCGCCCTCAAAAACGTCATGCCTTAACAGAGTGATCTCTACAGAAATTAGGAGGTACAAAAACCTTTTAAAACTCAAGGTTCTCTCTTTTTCATAATGTAACACAATTGTTGAATATATCAAGCAACCAGTGTAACAGATCTATTCAAGTAATTGCATCAAATTATTTAGATAATCAAAATCTTTGGTGGTTGCATTAATGAAAACAACATACATCATATAATACACAATCAAGAGTTTTCCAAATGAAAGGTGAGAAGCACAATCTCCACCAAATGTCTATTGGTTGTATGTTTTCGAGAGCAGATACCGTTGAACCTCAGATTGAGACTACCAGAACAAGGAAATATCCACTTTGACACTCAATACAATCTATGAAATGCAAATCAGTACACAATAGAAAACTGTGCAGAAAACCAAGCAGATGAATGTTTAAAGTCCAGAGATAAAGACAATGATTTATTTGTGATTAACGAAAAAGGTAAATTCTCACCTTTGCCTTCTCTATTCTCTTTGTACTCCCAACAGCATCAGTTTTCAAGACCATACCTCTGACTATTGTACAATTATGTAAACCTCCACCCAAAAGCTTAGCAACACGGACATTATCCACATTAAAGTTTGTTGGGTTTTTGGGGCACACTTGTATGCATGCCTATAGTGCAAAAAAGTCAAAAAGTCATACACTGCAAACAATTGACGATATTGGCAACAAAATAAAACAAAAAGGATAGACAAAAAAGAACTACCTCCGCAATTAGAGGGCACAGAATATCCTCCTGTCCAAATTGCTTACTAGCAACAGCAGCTTTCATTCGTAGTATAACTTCATCCTTATTTCTCACATCCATATTTTCAGAACCCTTCTCAACCAATTCATCTAAGATACTGATTGTCTACCACCATGTGTAAAATAAAAATTACAACAATTATTTCTCCTTTTTCCCTAAAAATACAATTGCTAGTAAACTGAGCCACTTAGTACAACGTTTACCAACCTTATTAATCGCTTTTGTGTAGCCAATGATGATCTCACTAGGATGCAGGCCCATCCTAATCAGCTCCTCAGCATTTAGGAGAAGCTCCCCAGCAAACGAAACAGTTAGATTAGCTCCATCACCGATTTCTGCCTGCTGCGCCTTGCCTGCCAAAACCAAAAGCTTGGCAGCAGGGTGTTGAACTTCAAGTTCATTCACAATAGTGGCAGCATCATTTGTTACGAAAAGCTTGTCCAGATGATTGATAACCATTTTATTCATACCTGAAAACAACAATACATTCAGAATCAAAAGGCTTTGCCAGACCTGGACATAACAATACAATCGAACTTTGAAAAGGTCAATGAAAAAAATAAAGGTATCCGCCAAACAGTCAATCTGCGGAGTTATTAAAAAGCAAAAGGCAGTAGTTAACAAACTACCCACATAATAATGACAACAGAGTGAAGTTTTAACTCCACAGATATCCCTTAAGTTTTTGCTCTCGTTCGTAATCATGTTACACTCAGATTCACAAAACATACCATCAGTAACTTACAGATGCAAAGCATATGTTTCTCAAACTTTTATTCCTCGTTTGGATAGGACTATGGTGAATTCTGATTCACGAGATATTCACAATCCTTTTAGTCTAGCATAAAGGTGATTTAAGTATACTAGATTCCAACATAGGCGTAAAAGAAAGTTTAAGTATAAGCAGTAGCTAGCAATCTAAACAACTTGATTTTAACCATAAATTTCTCACACTCGGTTACGTAAAGGCAAACCAGCAATGTTCCTCAACAATCCATCGAATCAATTAAACAAGATAGAGAGAAAATGCTTAATATTGAAGAGACTAACCAGTACTTACCATGAGATCTTATTAAAAAAACTGATACAGAAACATATATGGAGAGACCAAGATAGATACAAAGTACCATTGGGACCGAGAGAAGTTCTGGTGATCATGGAGAGTTGTTTGCAGGCTTCGATGTTCTTGATAACAGCTTCGTCGAGCCCAGACAGGTGCTTGTACCCTTCCTTGAGCATTCCCAGAATCCCATATGGCTGCATTCCGAAAGCCATCTTCTCTTCGATCAACCAGCTCGATAGAAATGAGAAGAGAGAGAAGTGAACCCTAGACGCTTTTCACCGTTTCGGTGTGTTTGTGTGTGGGAGGTATGGAGTCGGTGGGTGTGAGCGAGTATAAGTGAAAGAAGAGGGAAACCAAAAGAAAGCCCTAGAAGAACTTAGACCCGAATCTCAAAAGGTCCGACTTTGTGACAATGAGGATCCGAATCCCCACGCTTCAGATTCTCTCCATTTCAATTTTGATCCGACTATGTGATTATTGGGTATCCGGATCTCCTCCCACTCGAGCACACCATTTAAAAATTTTATGAATTTCGACCGGGAATAAGTGAAATTCTTTTGGGTGAGGCTATTCTTACCGGGGGTGTCATTCTTGTTGAGTTAGGCGGCTTTCTACCGAGTCTAATTGGATTTGTGTTAAAAAATTATTTAACTCACGACCAATTCATTTAATTAAATTGGTGAAATATATAAATTGAATATAATTCGTTTATTAAACAGATTAATCAATATAATTTGTTTAATCCGTTTAATAGCTTCATTAATTGAGGTGATGACTATGTACGAGTATTAAACAATCAAGATACGGTGCATTTTTAAGTTTAATATGCGACTCCTCTCACGAATACCATTGAAAGCAATAGGCTAGTGAAGCTTGAAGCTTAAATGAGTCACATGCAATAATTAGATTGATTCATTAAAACTATTTAGGTTGTCTTTGTCGTGCTCTAGATCACATAGAACATGTGTGGGAGCGCAAGAGCGTCAAATTTTATAACAAGTTAAGAGCGAGAGCATTACACAGAGTGTTAAATTTATATACACAAAAAAAAAATAGAGAATGTCAAAGAACTATAAATGAAAAAAAACTACTTATTAGTGATAAAGAAAAAAAAGAAAGCACAACGAAATTTTAGAGCAAAATAACTCATCCCACATTGGTGACCTATCAACAACTTAAATAATTTTACACCTATAAACATAGTTTTAAAACCCGGCTCGGACATCAATCCGGCGGAAGGACAGGATTAATGGGTCAATGGTTCAACCGTTTGAGTTATTGATCGAACCGGTAATATAATAAAAAAATAAATAATTATTATAAATAATAATTAATAGACTAAAAAATCACAATAATTATGATAATAACAACAAACATGTAAAGTTAAATACTGATACACAAAGCAATAAATCCAACCTCATCTCATTTCGCAGCATAAAAAAATCATACACACATAAAATTGCTTTCAGTATATAAGTCCAATCCCAGATGATATTGGCGTGCATTGTTAGATTGTATGAATAAAGGGATGGATAAATCTCCGCTGGAGATGCATCCGTATCAATTCCCAATATGTCATAATATTCGGCCTCCTTCACCATAGCTGAAAATTGAAAAATTCCTAATACAAACAAGATTTTGTTGGTTTTTTTTATGGAGTTTAGTTTGTATATGTAATCCGAATGATAATTCGATCCGAAATAATGTTGTGTGGTTTTTAATGGAAAATTTTCTGAGGCTTAATCCATGGAGCGACCCGAAGCTGTAGTGCTCATGGACAAGCCTCGTGGGGGTTCGGGGGCAACGCCCCCGAGGAAAATTTTTTGGGCCCGTTATACAGCCCAGTGCGTAGGACATATAAACCTTGTTGTTTTGGTGATTAGGGTTAGTTGTGGATTGTACAGCTGCTCTCTGTAATTCAACTCTCTTAATAGTGAAATCCCTGCAGCTTCGTGGACGTAGGCAAATTGCCGAACCACGTAAAATCTGTGTCTTGTTCGTTCTTGTTTCTTATTGCTTTATATTCTTGATTTGTTCTTCGATTGTGTGTGTTTGTTAGTGGATTTAAATCGAGTTAAATCTCAACAGATTTCAAGCCCTCAGTGACTCAAACTAAGAAAAGAAAATTAAACAAAAATAAATTACTCTTCCTATATATATACATGAACACACAATAAGCCAGACCAAAAAAAATTTACAAATTGAAATTCAAGAACAAAGACTGCAACAAAGTCCCCATATTTCAAGCATAAAAATTTCTTAAATCAATAACATCCCAACAATATTGTAACCCACCAAAAAAAAAAAAAAATGCAACCCACAAATATATATATATATATATATATATATATATATATATATATATCGAGAGAGAGAGAGAGTAGAGTCAGTAGACAGTTTGTATCCCTGTTGCAGTGCTTGGTGGTCATCGTCGATCTGTTGAAGGTGAAGTAGCTTTCTCCTTCGAAAATCGAAATCACTGTGAAGAAGGTTAGGGATTGAAAGTTCCTTCTCATTCGATTCGAGTCTTCGAGCTTGCAATGAAGGTGAAGCAGAGACCAAAGGCAGGGAGAGACTGATGTGTGTGTGTAAGAGAGAGAGAGAGGTTGTTCGTTTCTTCGTGAACAGGGGTCTGGTTGGGGAACGGGGACGGGAAGGAGGGATTAGGGCTGAATGACAAAAATGCCCAAAAGTGCCCCCAAAATTAGTTTTTATACTAAATAAAAAAACCCGGCCGGTTTAGTCAAATCATCCAGTTCTCACGGGTTTGCCAACTTTTGACCGGTTCAACGGGTTTATTCCGAGTTCCTTACACAAATAGTCTTTAAATAAACCCGATCCGGNCAGTTCTCACGGGTTTGCCGATTTTTGACCGGTTCAACGGGTTTATTCCGAGTTCCTTACACAAATGGTCTTTAAATAAACCCGATCCGGTTAGGAGACCGGTTCACCGGGTTGACCCATCAGGCCGGGCCGGGTTTTAAAACACTGCCTATAAATACTGTAGCAGCCGTCCCACATCGGTAGGCTATGAAAAATGGGGATGGTTGTTATAAATATTTTTGCATTGNTGTGTGGGAGCGCAAGAGCGTCAAATTTTATAACAAGTTAAGAGCGAGAGCATTACTCAGAGTGTTAAATTTATATACACACAAAAAAAAAATAGAGAATGTCAAAGAACTATAAATGAGAAAAAACTACTTATTAGTGATAAAGAAAAAAAAGAAAGCACAACGAAATTTTAGAGCAAAATAACTCATCCCACATTGGTGACCTATCAACAACTTAAATAATTTTACACCTATAAACATAATTTTAAAACCCGGCCCGGACATCAACCCGGCGGAAGGACAGGATTAATGGGTCAATGGTTCAACCATTGAGTTATTGATCGAACCGGTTATATAATAAATAAATAAATAATAATTATAAATAATAATTAATAGACTAAAAAATCACAATAATTATGATAATAACAACAAACATGTAAAGTTAAATACAGATACACAAAGCAATAAATCCAACCTCTATCTCATTTCGCAGCATAAAAAAATCATACACACATATAAAATTGCTTTCGGTATATAAGTCCAATCCCAGATGATATTGGCGTGCATTGTTAGATTGTATGAATAAAGGGATGGATAAATCTCCGCTGGAGATGCATCCGTATCAATTCCCAATATGTCATAATATTCGGCCTCCTTCACCATAGCTGAAAATCGAAAAATTCCTAATACAAACAAGATTTTGTTGGTTTTTTTTATGGAGTCTAGTTTGTATATGTGATCCGAATGATGCCCCCGACCCGAAGTAATGTTGTGTGATTTTTAATGAAAAATTTTCTGAGGCTTAGTCCGTGGAGCGAGGCTTGGGCTGATAGGCCCAAGTTGTAACGCTCATGGACAAGCCTCGTGGAGGAAAATTTTTTTGGCCCATTATACAGCCCAGTGCGTAGGACATATAAACCCTGTTGTTTTGGTGATTAGGGTTAGTTGTGGATTGTAAGCCACTCTCTGTAATTCAACTCTCTCAATAGTGAAATTCCTGCAGCTTCGTGGACGTAGACAAATTGCCGAACCACGTAAAATTTGTGTTTTGTTCTTTCTTGTTTCTTATTGTTTTATATTCTTGATTTGTTCTTCGATTGTGTGTGTTTGTTAGTGGAATTAAATCGAGTTAAATCCCAACAGATTTCAAGCCCTCAGTGACTCAAACTAAGAAAAGAAAATTAAACAAAAATAAATTACTCTTCCTACATTTATATATACATGAACACACAATAAGCCAGACCAAAAAAAATATACAAATTGAAATTCAAGAACAAAGACTGCAACAAAGTCCCCATATTTCAAGCATAAAAATTTCTTAAATCAATAACATCCCAACAATATTGTAACCCACAAAAAAAAATGCAACCCACAAATATATATATATATATATATATATATATATATATATATATAGAGAGAGAGAGAGAGAGTAGAGTCAGTAGACAGTTTGTATCCCTGTTGCGGTGCTTGGTGGTCATCGTCGATCTGTTGAAGGTGAAGTAGCTTTCTCCTTCGAAAATCGAAATCACTGTGAAAAAGGTTAGGGATTGAAAGTTCCTTCTCATTCGATTCGAGTCTTCGAGCTTGCAATGAAGGTGAAGCAGAGACCAAAGGCAGAGAGAGACTGATGTGTGTGTGTGTGTGAGAGAGAGAGAGAGAGGCTGTTCGTTTCTTCGTGAACAGGGGTCTGGCTGGGGAACGGGGACGGGAAGGAGGGATTAGGGCTGAATGACAAAAATGCCCAAAAGTGCCCCCAAAATTAGTTTTTATACTAAATAAAAAAACCCGGCCGGTTTAGTCAAATCATCCAGTTCTCACGGGTTTGCCGATTTTTGACCGGTTCAACGGGTTTATTCCGAGTTCCTTACACAAATGGTCTTTAAATAAACCCGATCCGGNCAGTTCTCACGGGTTTGCCGATTTTTGACCGGTTCAACGGGTTTATTCCGAGTTCCTTACACAAATGGTCTTTAAATAAACCCGATCCGGTTAGGAGACCGGTTCACCGGGTTGACCCATCAGGCCGGGCCGGGTTTTAAAACACTGCCTATAAATACTGTAGCAGCCGTCCCACATCGGTAGGCTATGAAAAATGGGGATGGTTGTTATAAATATTTTTGCATTGTTGTGCTGCGAAGTTAAATACTGAACAAGTACAC